TGTCACAGACATTAAATGATCTGTAACGATTTACAAACGCACAGACTAGCCACACTGTGGAGTGATGTCATTCTTTTTTTCTGGAATGAACCGTGAAAAATCGAAAATTGCCACGTTTATTTAAACTACCTAATTAAATATATACGATCATACTTGAACGCACGTCTTGACCGATGTTACATGTTACACTTTAAAAAATCGTAGGGCTCTTTTTTTTAATACATAACTATGTATATCATCTAATAATGGGTTGGAATATAAGACAATTTAAGATGGTAGATGGTAGTGGATGCTACCTGAAGCGTCTGACCGTTTCCAAAATCATATCCAGTTGCTTGAGTAACTGTTTTTTGGCCGACTGGTGTCTGTCTGTCAGTCCAGCTGGGTCCATGTACGGAAGTAGGACCAACAGGCCAGGTTTGTAGACCCGATGATGACGGAGAAAAGTGTAAAGTTCTACTTGTGGTATGCTGTATTGTTTATACCATTGTTAAAACAGAGAAGCGTATGGTTTAGAGGTTGGGGATAGAAGGGGGGGTCATGGGACTCAAGGACTGAAAATTTTGGAAAAGATTAATTTAGCACACAGCATCTGGCTCGACATAGAAATAAGCTCTTGAAGAATAAAGTTTCGCCATCGATATCTATTAATTACATTAACTAAGTTCAAAACAAAGTTGACAAATTCCGTTATGTGTTAGCCCATGTCACATACATACACATCACACGATTGCAAAATAAACGACCGATGGCATTTTTGCCATAGTTGTGAAGGTTTGTTTTTTGTTGCAAAATTCAGATGTTTTGTCACGGAAACTGCTGGCTACCTTACTTGTCGGCGAATGGCTCTGTTTGAAAATCCACGACATAATATTGTAAGACAATCGTAAGACAGATTTGCGACAAAGGTGGCCGCTCTGTTACAGACACACTGTCACACGATAGAATGATGTCATTCTTGTTTCTCAGTTGAACCATGAAAAATCGACACGTTTAGTTAAACTACATAATGATGGTCATAATGACAGGCCCGTATAGACTGATGTAATCTTTTTTCACGCTTCACCTAACAACGTTAGTTTTGCGACAGTATAACCCTTTTGCGGCACTATCGGTGTTTGTTCCAGGCAAATAATAGGATCATTCTGTCAATAACAAATATATTTTGCACCATTGACAGAATGATACGACAAAATAACATAAAATTGAGAAGAGGGTGTCCATACGATACGATTTTGAGTGCCCATTCAAATGTTTTTATTTTCCATAATGTATAACTAGTGGCAGCCAGAATATAAGTCATGTACACCTTGAATCCACCTTTCCTTGGGAAAAAAAACCAGAAAATTTTGCACTTGAAAAAAAAAACAGAAACTTTTCCACTGTTACATGGACTTAAGCACATGTTTTTGGACGGCGGCCCTCACCGAAAATATGGTTAATTTCATCAGTCAACCGTTACCAATGCTTCACAGAAGTGACATTTAAAACTGACTCATGAAGTGCAATTAACGGTGTGCATGGAACACCTACGAACAACGTCTCAGTTGTAGTCTGTTTCACCGTTCTCTGACCTTTTCACCTCTATTATTTCAGGTAGATTTGCTGTGACTATCATTATCTTTGCAGTCGCTTTATTCACGGTTCAACAAAGCTCGCTGTAAAAGCACATGCTGCTATTTCTAACACAGATACACGTTAGAACAAGTTTTGTGTGTCGATGAAATAGTAGTGTGAATTTTTGTGTGGAAGATGTGAGAATTTAGAAAAAAGTAGGTTGTGGCCGCCATTTTGGGACGCTTTGTAGGTGAGTCACGTGATCCAAAGCGTTCGATACATCTATATATCAAAGGCTATCAAAGTGACAACCGTGCGACCATGTCTGCACGCTCCAATTCTTGGGTTTCAGTCACGTGACCCGACCTTAGCGACGGGTGTTATCCGCCATTTTGGTGTACCTACAACCCCGCGTAGCCTACGCGCTATATACATGGTTCATTGTTTTGTAGCTGGTTGCGGGTCAAAAAAGTGGTAAACACAGTGTATCTTTTCAATGTGTGCCAAGGTGATTACAAATCAAGGAAAGGACCAGGAAAAACTGACCGAAAAACATCGCAGATTGTGGATTTTTGCGATCAGCCGCGGGGATACGGCCACAGAAATATCCCGAGATTGTGGCGAGTTACTATCGCCACAGACTCTGGGCAAGCTTCACCCGCCTGGGTCCGACACAATGTTGCCTGGGTCCCTACTAAAAAAACCTTGGAAGAAAGAAGTACAGAGATTGGGACGAAAGCAAAGAACAGAAGGAGAGGCGAGGGCCGAAAGGGCGAGAGAACGCATCAAGCGGGCCGAGGAACAGCCGGGTCTGGCGGCTTGACCGGGCGGGGCTTCTGACGCCAAAAGCCGCCCGACGCCACACAATGCTGCTGGATATCGCGTACGTGATCTTCCCTACACCGAGGTCAGAAATGTTCCTGTACATGCAGAAATGGCACCCAGGAATTTCCATTAAACATCGACTAAACAAAAGTTTACACGGTGCAAGTGAATTTATTTTGATACTGTAGTACACGTGGCAGTCTGACTCAATTTGAGCCTAAGTGCTAAAACTCCGAGTTCACCCTGACAGCCCAACAAAATTACCGATCTTAGCACTAAAAGTTGGGTTAAAATTCGGCTTATCATGATATCCTAATATTCTAATGTGAATGTTCACAAGCTAATTCATGCATAGGTTGTGAGAGGTTACCCAAAAACTTTTTACGGCAAAACTACAACTAAGGGTACGTAAACAAAATTATGCCCGGAGGCTCCCCTCCCAACGCCGATGATTTACTCCCGCAAACTCGAGGCGGCCAACAAAATTTCTGTCGACAGGGATGACAAGCCGTCATGTGAAATTCTAATGGGGTTCCAACAGAGACATGCTAGTACTTTTGGTGCTTGAAAAAATATTCATGAACTCCAGTTTGTCAGCGGCGAAACCGAAGGGGCTAGATGAAAGTACACAACAATTTGAACAAACAAAGCCGCCCGCGGGCATGAATAAAAACTGGCATTTTGCATTATTACACACAGAACCCATAATTTTGTAACAGCAACCGATAGTAAAACAAGGATTTACATTACCAAGAAAAGGTGAAACTTAGGCTTACCATAATTTGATTGGGGATAACCCGTCCGCTCCTCTCGAAATTGTTGTTTACGATTCGGCTACGCGAGTCACAAGTTGTCGCGAGAAGGAATCAGACACACGGGTGACCCGCGCACAGAGAACTGTCCAAAACACACTTCCCAGACCCTCCCTCTCTCTCTTAATTCATTTATTGAGAAAAAAATTAGACTAGAGTGACCAACATACGGATCCTGTCCACTGTAGGACTGTGTAGGACTAGTAACGTTAGTCTTTGAAGTTGGTTCACACATACGCTACCACATACGCAAGTTTTGTCGTCCTATATCCTTAGTCATCGTATCCTTTGACTTCCTATCCTCTCAAAAATGGACAATTTCATTGAAATCCTTGTCATCTGTCAACCATCAAAGACTGCAAAATTATCGTGTGGCTGTTAACTACTTGTATGGCTTCGGTACCAATGTCTTGACACTGCATAGCACTACAGCGAGGTACACCAAAATGGCGGCCGCCTGTATTACGCAAGCCCCGTGACGTCACGTGAAAGCCGAGAATACACGTGCTTTTGTTGCCAGTGGTTAAAGTACATTATGTTCATTTGTTGGTAGTTCGTCTATGTAACATAGATATACTGCACTATATGTTCATGGATTCATTAGATAGAACCTCTATATATGTTTATGGACTTGGTAAGACTTCATTCATGTCAGATGTACGTTGTTATATTTAGTCTGACCTTAACCTCTACCCTCATTACCTCATTGAAAAGCCGATTTTTCTTCTTCTACCTGACTAACTTCTACATGTCACAGTAGAGCAGTGTTTGCGTCTAAATCTACGCTCCCTTTTGTTCTGCGAATTTGCCTCAGGGAAGGGGGGGGGGATCGAACCACTTGTTACTGATGTCTTCAATTTAATAAACAACTTCTGACAATACTTAGTTTGGGACAACTCAAGCAGAAAACTAGAAACCAGTTACAATTTTTTTACAAGAAAGATGTACTGAATGTTGCACAGATACATGCTTTTCTGGATATATAAAGGTGGTATCTGTACATGTTGAAGTTTACTTAGACATAGACACCTAGGCAGCACTTGTCAGACCATTTCTGTACCAGTTGAGCGTGTCCTGGTGTGTTTTCTCTGTCGTTCGTACCGCACATTTTCGGTCTGCCGTGCTAAGAATGTCATCGGGAAACGTTTCTCCGAGCCAAGACCAACATTTCTCATGCCTTCTCACACATGTCTGGTGGGTTATACTAACATCTCAATAATCACCTGCACGTGGCGAAGTGGGGTTTATCTGGGGTGTGTTATTGGCCTCGAAAATACTGGTAACATCGTGTACCAGTTTAAACCGGTTCAGACTTGCTAGCCATGATGGTGAGTCAGTCAATCCTCTTGCACCAAGTGCGTGTTGTGGTACTTGCATGGTACTCATAATCAAATTATCAAATCTCTCTTTCCCTCTGTCTCTCTCCCTCTTCCTCTATGTCTCTGTCTCTCTCCCTCTCTTCCCCCTCTCTCCTCTTTCTCTCTACCCCTCTCCCTCCCCCATCTCTCTCCTCTCTTTCTCTCTCAAATCACCAATGTAGCAGAATCATTAGAAAGTTGATGTTGGCTACCAAAAACCTCAAAGACAAGGACAACGCCTAGTAAATTTAAGTCTTTATGTAAGAAAAACGTCCCGTAAATTCCCGTTCCTCCTTTTATACCCCAAATGTTACCCATGTCAGTATGCGTAAGATGTGACGGGTAGGTCTGGTTGTTACAATTCCCTTAACAGGCGTGAATATCAATGTCCCATTATAAACTTCGTCTGACCTTTTTCCTGTGGTGAATGTGTCACAACGTTATGTGATTAATAATTGATATCGCCATTATGTACATAGAGCGTTATATGTGTAATTGCATTGCAACAAATTTCAGTGCAGCGATCACAATTGTTTCTGTCTTCACAGCAAAAATAGTACTCTTTTGTGGAGAGTGTCTTTTGTGATGAATATGGTATCATTGTCGTTGAGTGTGCATGATTTGAAAGGGACGTATTTACATGGACGTAGACCAAGAGGTCCCGGGTTCAATCCCCTGACATGCACTGATGACACACCATTGGGAAAGGCACTTAACACGATTTTCCTTACTTCACTCAAATTTTCAAGTTCAAGTAAAGGTCAGAAAATGCTCTCAAAAGTTCAAGGTCAACAGGCCGTGGCCTCCTGTCCAATGTCACCCTGTGATTCTCGTCTCAATTTCTCCTCACAAAATTTCTAGGCCATCTTCTCTGCTGTTCTTCAGATTTTCAAGGTCAACAAATGCCCTCCAAAGTTCTAGGTCAACAGGGCGTTACCTCCTGACCAAAGGTGCCCTCTGCTTCTTGTCTCAGTTTTTCCTTCCGAATATTCTCCGCCATTTTCTCTACCGTTCTGCAGATTTTTCCCGCGGCGGGAGTTTTGAAGACCAGGTACCGCCCGGCTCTGGTGACGATGTCCTCCTCGATCTGGACATAGAAGATGTTCGGCTCCACACCGTAACTCAAAACTCTGGTGAGAGACCACTGTCCGATGTCGCCATCTTGTCCGATGAATTCTAGATCTGTGTCTGTGATTCGCAGTCTTCCTGTGGAGTAATAGAATAATATTGCAAAATAATAACAATTGTTAATATTTGAGATAATAATACATATTTTTTTTCAACAGAGAGAAATACTAGTACCAGTGAGAGACCAAAAAGTCGGCTGGGAACATGGTGAGTTATATGTATTCCAGTTTGGTAACTTTTTTCTCAATACATATCTACTAGTATATTTTATGTTGTTGATTAAGAGGTAGATTTTGATGTATCGCATTCCATATGGTATCAACGTCCATGCGTGTTTTTTTTTTAAAGTAGGTTCTTCGGAATCTACGAAATACATATTGAATTTGCAACACCCAAACCGTAATTCTGACATTTGTTCCCTACCAATTTGCGTCTGGTCATATTCAAGGTTATAGAGATTTTTAAAAGTTTGGATAAAAGTTTTTTAAAGAAATGATATTTACCTCCACCCAAGACTTTATTCCCCGTCCCCACAACTCCGACCTGGTACCAGCCCTCCGCATCGGGCAGCCGCTTGCTGCTCACCATACCCATTCCGCTAGGTGTCGCTTTTGACCGGTCGATCACGACTCACGACCGACAGCTGTGACAATAATGGACGTTCACTTGCCAACGCTGCGTTGTCGGGTCACCTTTTTTGGTCACATCTGCAGTTCACATCGACTTTTATCGCTATGAGACACAACATAACAGAATGAATAAACATGTCAGTGCTTTGATATATCGATTCAGGTCTAAAACAACTGCAGGGGGATCCGATTTAAATTTATGAAACAAGAAAGAAACAGGAGGAGCCAGTAAAAACCCCAATGGTCCCGGGCCGGGGTTCGTTACAATATGGTCTCTCAATATCCGAAATTCTCCCATATCAGGTATTGATATTTATCTACGTTCTAGACTACAGCCAACTACGTGTATATGTTAGTAGTGAAGTACATAATGTTATTGTTAATGATACATTTATAAAATCGTTGTCAAAGTTGAGATGTACGATAGACCCCTCCCCATATGCCCCCCCTTTAGCTAATACTGCCCCCCCCAAAAGCCACGTTCAATTCCCCTGCTTAAAATTCCACCTACCTCACAAGCCCTTGAAAACGGAAATCAGAAAAACATATATATCTTTTAACATGACATGTCCTTGCGTCATTATACCGTGTTGTGGTTCCTACTGACGCACGTAGTAACTTACAACTTGCACGGATCTTGTGTTTTCCCTCATTAAAACCCACCGTATGCCCGGAAAACAAGCACTACAGATGCTGAAGTACACTTTGAACTGTTGGTCATGCTTTGTGTGTACAGCGGAGTTGGACAATGGCAGTGAATGGAAAGCTGTATTATATTTCCTGTCTACCATCGATCGAGGTAGTAAATACTGTTTTCAGCTGGCGGATCGTGTTGCAAAGCTTATTGAGGAACCGTCTGTTGATAAAAGTCCTTTGTTGGAAAAACATGAACTCAAAACAGCCCAATCGATATGTTGGTTGGTTGGCTGTAGTTCGCTTCAAAATTGGTAGATGGCGTTATTACGCATTAGAGATTAATACGGTTGTAAGATCCTGAATAATCAGCTACAGTCCTAAGCCCGGGCAGGTTTTGAAATGATTCCAGAATCAATTAACTATATTGGCGTTTGCGGAACTGTTCGATATTAAAAATGTCAATGCGAGATCTTAGGTATAATTGCATCATTTTTGTATTATCTCTCACATTATAAACAGTTATGATCCATACTAACATGTACGCAATTACGCATACTAGAATTCATAATGGTTACGTAGCGTACACTTGTCAACCATGGTATGCAATAAACTGACGGCCCTTGCACCGCCAATAGCAAACGAAATTGCTTCAATACCTAGCATGAGTATAACAGTGGTTTGCACCACTCTTATTGCGTTTTACAGCGAGTCTACATGTGCCCCATATCGCTATATATACTATACACCATACTATATGTGGTCATCTGATAAACAGTTACATGGAAATTGTATGAGTCCATTAAGAATTTGTGTGATGAAACTGGCCTGCTACATGTTTTCATTGTATTGTGCAGACGCTTGTTATTTTCTCAGCCAGTTGGTATGAATAGAATCCCCCAAACAATAGGACGATATGATCCACGTATATACCAAACAATAGCTTACCTGGTCAGACCGTACGACAGGTGTGTTGGTAACGTTTTATGGCGGCAGAAGTCGGACCATCATTGCAACAAACGTCGATCTTTGTCCTCTTAACAAGTCTTAAAACGGCCCCCACCCAAACTGGTGGAGTGTTTGCCATGCACTGTACATTTGGTGTGTACACATACGCCTGAGTAAACATACTGTACGCCTACCATAGTCGGCTAGGTGGGTGTTGTTAATGTTATTAGTGCACACAAAAAAAGACCGCAGCAAAATGCAAATGTGGCAGCATAACCAACATTTTATAGTGGCACATGGTGCAAATATATCATCAGACTATATGAAGACAATAATTTTAATCTGTGTTTTATCTTTTATAAGGCCATGTTGATTTGATTATATGGATGACATCCTCCGGGAGCCCCAAAACTGATGCGCGCGTGCGAATAAAAAAAAAAGTTCTTTTCATTATGAAATCTACGTGGTCATGAGGGTTGAGCAAATGGCACAGAATATGGTTTGGCGAATAAAATCTAGTCTTCAAGTTCATTTCTTTACAATTTCGTCTTTTTTCGTTTGATTTTGGCATTCTACGACATTGGTATAGTTTTTATTATTTTTTTTTTTGTAACTTATGGTATATTTTTGCTCATTTTGCAACTGTTTTGTACGATTTACAGTATGGTTGAAAACTTTTTTTTTTGGAAACGGCCGAAAATTCATGCGCGCGCGGATGTCATCCATATAATCAAATCAACATGGCCTAATGTATAGTGGCCTTAATTACTGATAACAGCATGATATTGCTATCAATTTATCGATCAATATAGTCGTTTACATGTTTTGGTCTCAAGTTATTATTTTTTGGAACTTCGAACCTTCCTACTAAGGGTTTTTTTCAACTGACCATACATACACACATACAGCTTTTAAGGACATGAAATTTCTTGAAATGCTATTATCATGTAGCATGTAACATGATTGTAGTTATGATAATCATAATTTCAATTTATAACACAGATTAAAATTGCCAGTCAAGGCATTGGTGCAAACCGGCACCCCTATATTAGAATGGTATTGCTCAAGCGGAAGCGGAAATGACCTCACTCTTGCAGACGACATCCCTGACACTTGTTTGAATGGAGTTCACTGTATCTATATATCATATTTGTATCTGTATCTGCTTCATATCTGAATATGCAAATGTGTGTCAAATGTAAATCATAGCAATTAGGACAAAGGCGACCCACACCAAAAAGAAACCATACAATCATGAAATAAAACATTGGTGGCAAAAAGTATAACCACGTTAACGGTTAAGATCTGCCACGGGCATGTATCTAAATTAACGGGGACATATGCAATGCCTTCCCCCGTCCACGGGGACCTGGGCGCCGGTTATGAAGGACGCGTCCGACGAGGCCAGGAAGGCGATGGTCTTCGCTACTTCGGGCACTTCTCCTATCCTTCCCAGGGCGTGAGTGGTTTTATGGTGTTCGTAGTACTAATGGGAAAAAAGTGTTGGTGCTATGCATCAGTTCCATCAAAACTTATAATTATGTGCAAAACTAGAAAGGTAACATTTGCAAAGCAAATGCATAATGTTTACCTTCGCATATGGTCTGCTCTGTTAATTCTTTCTCAACACACATTCATATATATGGTCACAGGAATTTTGAAGAAGCAATTAGTCCACATAAGGGTGTTGTTTTTCCAGTATAGATTATATACTGTCAGGCAATAAAAATGCGACATGGCGCACGTGTAAAATAAGCATCCGTGTTCTGAAAAAGACTCTCCCCAATACCCTCTAATAGATGCCACAATATTCATGCTAAAGTGAAATACATACATGAAATGCATATATGTAGGGTCTGCATGGGGTAGCCTACTAATACATTGTATATCGTTCTACAAAACATACGTTTTACAAGTGGAATTCTGCAAAAAGTCCGTTGACTATTCTTAATTGACAAATAATCTATTGGAACTTCAAAATTACTCATGACATAAGTTCTCTTTTAAAGGATACAAGTAATACAGCAGCTCCCATACCTGGGTAATTTCCTCCTCAGTCATTCCCGAGGTTTGGAAAATATCTGTCCGGATCGTACCGGGGCTGTGGGGAGACAGACATAAATAGTAGAGTATCGGACACAAGTGGGTATAAACTTACAGACATTTCTACTCAAAATGCCATCATGTCAGATCCCAGTCCAGCACGCCTTTATACAACTACTACTTCAAAGTCATTGAAAGATGTATATGTTGTAGAAATAAAAAAAAAATAATAATAAAGAATTACTTGACAGAGTTGACCCTGATTTGCTTGGGAGCTAGTTCTGAAAAACAAAGGTAGTTTTAGTCAGCCATGGTTCTGGATACAATATATCCCTTTTTGGACCCTATAAAAAGTTCAAGCAAACACTATTATCATATATACTTCATACCGATATCACCATAATTTACTGACCAAGTGCGACGCATCTGGTGAACTGGTCCACAGCCGACTTGCTGATGTTGTACGCAAGATGTTTTGAAAACTGAATGATAATAAGTCAAATATATATCATTTGTTGTTTGTTTGTTGACAAAATACACCTTCGTTGTGATTCTTGTAAATCCAAAACTAGCCCGAGCTTATTCAATTCCAAGTTAAGGTGTGAATGGATCTGATATTTGGTAGGTGAGTAGCGGTTGTGAAGACGAAGGTGAAGTTCATTGACACTAGAACATGAAATAAAAATAGAACATGAAAAACTTACCGATCGTATCCCTTTTATACTGGACACATTTACAATGGCACCTGGGAATGACAATCACAATCAATATTCTAGACAGAATACAGTCAAGTTGCATTTCAAATCGGCAGAGGAAAGCAGTTATGCTCAGATTACGACTGTACTCTCCAACGTTCACCCCGACCCACAATGCGTCCATGACATCGTAAATAAATGTTAGATACCTTTAGTTTTTGTGAGATGTGGAACACACAACTGAGTCAGTCTGACCACACTGCGAACGTTGACGTCCATCGTTTTGTCATACTCCGCCATGTCTGTTGTCTCTAAATTACCAAACGTTAAGGTGCCGGCATTGTTTACCTGTTGGAATGAGAGAAGTAGATGCAAGGATAAGCTGGATAATGATACACAATACGTTAAGAACATGTGTTGATTTGTACAAATAATGGTACAGCATTGTAACGATGTACCGAGTATGTAGACGGAACATTCTTGGTTTTGCACCAATGAGATACTGGAATACAAATGGAAAATCATACTGCATCTAAAGACTAGGGCAGTCAACGTGATAAATTATTTACCAGCACATCGATTCTGCCAAACTTCTGTGCAGTCTGGTCCACCAGGTTTTTCCTTACTTCGTCATCACAGATGTCTCCTGTTACAATCAGAATCTGAGGGGAAAAGAACGATAAATAAGTTGGTTTTTATGATAAATGCTTGTACAATTTCAGGCAGAAGTCAGTTATGAAAATACGTTCTACGGTGACCGTAAGAAAATAAACACAGATCACAACTAAACACCTTGTCTTCTGGAGTCCCTGCCTCCACACAAGCCTTTGCTGTGGCCTGCAGGTTTTCCTCGTTTCTCCCAGTCAGAGCCAGGTGCGCTCCCAACTGAGCAAATTCCACAGCTGTACCCTTCCCAATACCAGCACTCGCACCTGTTATATATGTTATACCTGTTATATATACTCGCCACAGAGCGTCACCGATTAAAAGATCCAGTGTTGAAGCTTGAACTCAACGTTGTGTTATGCCTTGAGGCAATGCCTAGACAACAAGCAAGAAGAATTAAGCAAATAGCTGGCAAGGACGTTAACACATCACGTAGTTCGTTAAGTCTGTATTATGCGTCTAAAATCCAGGTGAAATATTAACTCGACATATGGCGATACCTGTTGACCACCTCCCTCTTTCCCGGGACAACGAGTCGACCTCGAATATTTCAAAGTTCTGTCTGACCACAGAACTAATTGGACAGGCGAATTTTGCGAGCTCCTGTTCACCTACCTGTGATTATGGCGACCTTCCCTCTAAAGTCAGGCATCTTTTGCCTCTAGATTTGACTTCAATCGATGCTGAAAGAATCAATGCACGCTATACTCCCCTTCGTATGATCAATACTGCACACTTGTACTTTACACTCAAGGACTTTGCACCTCTTTGATAGTGGCGCGTGCAAGACGGCATCAACGTGCCAAGTCATATTTGTATATATCGCTAAAAGCAACATAAATGTAGCAAGAAAATTCGCATTTTAGATGCATGCATGAGAATTTGAAACAGACACAACACAAGTTATGTGAGGAGTCCCTTTATTTTTGGTACCATCAATAAATACTAGCCAGAACCTAGCCTCTGCCAGGCATGGGGAGGCGGCTGGAAAGAGTAGAAATCGGCTAAGTAGGGAGATAAGCATGCCGAGGGAGTTTGTCCGTTGAGAGAACAGTTGGGGTGCGGCGAACTGTTCTCTCAACGGACAAACTCCCTTGGCATGTTATCTCCCTATTTAGCAGATTTCTACTCTTTCCAGTCGCCTCCCCAAGCCTGGTAGAGGATAACCAGAACCAGCTATCATGCAAAACAAGCAACTGTTTTCCATCAGCAAGATTGCATTATTGCCTCACAGATATCAGTATGTTATAGCCTATGGGATTGATTCAACCTACCGGGTACTACATTAAAAAATGACCAGAAAATTGACTTTGAGAAGTTTTTACTGGCCTAAAATCGCTTTGGGTGCCTTTGCAGAGCAACAGTAGCCTGTAGTTTAAAACTGGAAGAACAACCAACAAAATTAATGTGAAAGGAAAAATTTATGGTATAACTCCTTGCTGGAGTTACGAACAATGAGGAATGGTATGAGATATGCAATGCATTATGTAGAACTGTTTTCTTCTTGAACATCACTGCTGGTTGCAGAAGGATCTCTCTTGGTTGATGGGTTAACAATTCTGGTTAATGGGTTATCTGTGTCGTCGTTGTCTCTCAGTCTGTTGAGTTCTTCCATCCAAGACTTCACCAATGGATAATGGAACTTTCCTGTGGATACAAATAGAGACATCATGTCAACATATTACTTAAAAATAGATATTAAAATAGTACATGAAGCATTTGTCAAGCAAATGCATAATGTTTACCTTCACATGGTCTATCCTAGCAAAATACTGCTCTGTTTATTCTTGCACAAACACATTTTCTGTCCTCTCATTGCTATGTAATGTAACCCAACACCACTGGGTGTCTGTTACAGCACCAGTTACCATGGTGACAGACATCTGGTCCAGGTCATTGATTGGAGAAGAAACTGAGGCAAAACAATGTGTTTTCCTTCTGTGTAGGTAAACATAAAAACACTATTCTCCATGCAAAGGTATCTTATTTTGAAGTGTTTTATATGTTTTCATCAGAATTTCCATTGCAGCTTGGTTCTTTGAGTGCAGTCTAGTTACAAAAAGAGTTATTGAGTCAGAAAAAAAGAACACCTCTAGTTGAGTTGAAGAAGTCTTGAAGTTGTCCTGGACGTTTCTGCAGTGTCTCGTACTCGAAGGCTTGCAGGACCATGTCAAACTTGTCCAAGTCCTTCACAGCTTTCGCTTCGGCTGTGGACTCCTGCTCGTACTCCTAAATGTGTGCATTCCCAAAACAACGCATCAGACATGTCAGAGGCAATCAAACTAATCCAAAGTTGACACACTGATAGAGTCTTCTACATCACACAATGGATTGTATTTGTACATCTAATGGTCTAATGTGAAGATACTGGAAGAGAAAATTATATAAATTTTTCAAGGCTACAAGGCTTTTTTTCAACAGCCATACTAATCACTAGAAGAAATACACATCTTCCATCAGCACATTGCCTTACAATATGTAGCCCTGCAGTACCAGCATGCTTCACTAGATAGAGTTCATGTACTGCATCATACAGTCTTGAACCTCTGCAGTACCACAGAGCTTTACTAGATGGCGCTGTTTCAGACTGACCTCCCAGAGACTGTAGAGTTCCTTCCCAACTTCCCCTCCCACAAGTCCTGACAGGTGCACCATAGCTTCCTGGGAAAAGAAAACAAAAAGGAATTATTACTAGTACCTTCGCCAAAAAGGTTATGTTTTCCATAGCGTTTGTGTGTATGTATGTTTGTGTGTATGTGGTTCAGCAGGATAACTAAAGATGCGTTTTGAGGATTGTCATGAAACTTGGTAGGTGGGTAGGTGTTGATGAGGCCTAGAAATTATTAGATTTTCAGCCCCTGGTGGCTTGATACGGTACTGCATCAGAGCCTCCGGTTTTTATATCTCATGATCTGGACATGCTAGGGTCATGAAATTTGGATCTTCTATAACTCATTTCTTTACTTAATCCGAAGCATAGTTTGCCAGGCGCACAGAGTTTGCTAGATTGAACAACAACAGCATGAAACTAGAGTTCCACGATCTCATACCTTCGCCAAATGATGTTAGCCTTTATAAATAAGAAATATACTAATCACCCTGATTATGCAGATAGGATCCTCGATTGCATGAATTATATCAGTCTGTTGATCATATTCTACACCAAAAGACAGTCTTATCTTAACAAAGAATGCCATTATAGCATTTCCTCATAAATTATGCAAATGTGGTCCTTATTTGAATAAGTTATGTTTAATTATGTTCACCTTCACTTAACTTTCAAACATCCCAAGTATGAAATTTCAGGCAGTTACCACTATGCAATTATAACATTTTCTCATTAATTATGCAAATTAAGTCTTCATTTGCATAATCGATATTTGCCTGTGTTTTTCTCGTTCTTAATAACATATGTTACAAGCTTGAACTTCCTATCATGGTATGCAGCTGATTTATAGAATTTCCTCATTAATTATGCAAATTACATCAATATTTGCATAATTGTAATATCATTATGTCAAGCATCACTCAAGCTACCTACATACCAAAAATCACGATGATCCATTAATCGGTTCTTGAGTTATCCTCTTTTAAACATTTGTCCTTTAAACCCCCCTGCAGTTCTAGAGCAAGCAACTAGGGGGCTCAAACTCATGTCACTTCATCCCCAGCACAAGAGCTACCTGCCATCCAAATTTCGTCACCCTTGCATGTCTGGATCATGAGATATCAAAACCGGAAGTTCAGCTGCAGTACCATGACAAGCCGCCAGGGGGCCCAAAATCTAATCATTTTGAGGTCTCATCAAGACCTACCCACCTACCAAATATCAAGATAATCCATCTAAGCTTTTTCGAGTTATGCTGTTGACAGACAGACAGACAGACACACACACACACACACACATACACGAACGCCTCTGAAAACATAACCTTCTTGGCGAAGGTAAAAATGCCTGAGAAAACAGGAGAAACACTGCTGAACAGTCTAACGGCATTTCTCAGCCCACTGCGATCACTGTTTTACCTCCCCTAATCTCCTCCCTATAACATCCAACACGCCTCCCAACAAACAATGGGGAGAAGCGATAACAATAGTCAGGCACAGGCTCTTGAATGTAGCGGTTTGGTGTGACGGTATTACTGCGTGTGTCGAAAAGATCGGTAAATATGGACAGGCGCTCACACTGTTGAATCATGTGGTAGGAATGTAGCCTCTACCAGGCTTCAGGAGTGGCTGGAAAGACCTAGCCTCTACTAGGCTTTGGGAAGTGGCTGGAAAGAGTTGAATTGACCAAATAGACAGATAACATGCCAGACTGTACTCTTTAGTAGACCAGCATGTTATCTGTCTATTTGGTCAATTTCTACTCTTTCTAGCCACTTCTAAAGCCTGATAGAGGCTAGAATAGAGTAGAAATTGGCCAAATAGATCAATATAATCACTAGCCTTGAAATGTCAAAGAACTAAGAAAAGAAAGCATATGTAAGAAGAAGTTTTAGAAACTATTTGGGTGCCAAATGTCTACAATAGTAGAGGTAGATCTTCAGTTGCAAGAATGCAGAAACAAAGAAATCCAAAGTACCAAAAATTCACAGACAAGTGGTATTACATTGTGGGAAGTTACACAAGACAGAGACAAACTCAAACATGCCAGTTTGTCGCTAAATGACTATTACTCGCGTAAGAATGCAGTGAACAAATGTAGACAACTGACCGTCACGCGACAGTCAACATCCGAGTCTTTCCACTGATGTCTGTAACAGTGTGCTAAGGTAGTTAGAATGGCTGTTACAGAAACACAAACACACTACAGGCTATTAAAATCACATTGCAATAAAGTGCTAAAGTGTAAGATAGGATGTTGGGATTTTCTTCTTACACATCCGGTAATGGTTCTCACCCGCTTACGTTTCAATGCCTTCCTCAGAGCTTCTGACTGGCTCACTGCCTCTTGCCACTAATATATGTAGCCAATGTAGGTAGCAGTACTCCATTATGAAGCTCTGAGGAAGAAATCTAAGAAGATGAGAAGTTTATCGGGCTAAGGCTAATTCTCTTTTGAACTGGTACATCTTTCTTTTTTGCTAGCCAAACTTTGGGTGGATACTGCCTTGCCAATGATACTGTCTTGCAGTCATCTAAAGATCTGCTTGGAGATCAGCAAACTAGTTTCTCTAATCTTCTCTAAAGCCTTGTTTATTTTACTTCATGCATTGTTTCAAACAAAGCAATGAAGTGCCCTGAGATACCTTCAAGTGGGCCTGCATGGGGGGTCCAGACAATATAATGCTCTACACTAAATTTTGAGAGCTGGCCATGTATACTATTACACTGAATTCAAGAAGCCTCTCGATTACATTTCACGATAAATTCCGGGTAGCTTACATACAACGCATTACAGAGAATTAAAATGGCGAATTACGCTCTACGCAAAATGTGCTCTACGTTGAATTAGAGCGGTTCGTCTACGCTCTACGTAGAATTAAAACAACTGATCGTGTGTAGGTCACATAATCCTTCCGAAACAACTGATTACGCTCTATGGAAAAGGACATCCGGGCCTCCACTCAAGTTTTTATTTCTTCTGGACAAGACAACAAGACTGTCCCTTCCTATTCCCATACATGACATACGATACACTGACAAACAAACTGTATTGTTAGGGGAGGGAAGGCCAACAGTGTCTAGGAATCCAGTCTGCTGCTGTCCAAATGTCCCAGTTTGGCATCAGTTGTTGAGGAGGTTTTCCCACACAGATCCTGTAACACCCTCCACAGGTCCTGACAGGAGAGTGACAAGCACTAAACTAACATGTATCAGTGGGGGGAAGAATGTTGCTGATGGAATGTTGCTTGTTTTGTATTATAGGCTTGTTCTATCATTGAGATAACTTAATAAAAAAACTAAAAGAATGACCACAAAATTAACTTTGAAAATCAAGTTTTGCCACCCTGAGAACAGAGACTACAAGAATAGAAAAGAGACAGGAATTAACGAAGGAAATGGAAAAGAAGGAAGGAAAATAAGTGCAAGAAAAAGAAAAAATCAAGGGACATCCAAACATCTTCTTTGAGACCTAGCCTCCTGTGCAGGCCTCCTCCCAGGAGAGTGTTTTAATACTGGGTTTGGTAGAATTGTTTGCATATTCTTTTGCCAGCCATCTACAACCAAACAGCCACTGTAGGACAAAACCTGCCTCAGAGGTTGTACAATGAGGGCCTGCATGGGGGGGTAGTGATTACGAATTACACAAAATTTTTGCCGCCGATTACGAATTACGTTAACGTCTCAGAGCTGATTATGGCTTTACGATTTGCGACTAATGTCCTATTACGAATTATGTTGATTTTTGCGGAGGCTGCCTACGAATTACGAAGTCTAAAAAGGCCTGATTACGCCTTACGAAAAAGGGCTTGCAGGCCCTCTACAATGGCTGGCAAAAGAACTGGTCTGCTTGTCTGGGTTTCTACTACCAAACTAAGTACTAAAACACCCACCCCCTCAGAAGCCTGCACAGGAGGCTACAGTACTGGATCTCCCTGTGACCCACTGCCCCGCCCACCTGCAGGTGCTCCATGTCCCCCTCAGTTGATGCCTGTTTACAACTCATCAGGTACAAGTGGGAGGGGAGGTTTGGGGGCTCTCTGTGGCCCTTCAAACATGGCCTAGGGCTGATGGAAGTTAGCTTCACGGATGACATCCCTTCTAGTGATTGTGGCTAGTTTCCAATAAAAAATCTTCTTCTTTTTTTCTTTTTCTTTCATTTTAGAGATTAACTTCATATATTCTGAGAAAAATATAGAGATATATAATAAAAGAGAGTGGTAACTGAAACATACTCTCCTGACATGTTATATTCAACTGAATTTTTCTCTTTCCAATTCCAGCCACTTCTGAAGCCGGGGCCCTAGTAGGGCCCTAGTAATCTCCAAGCAGATCTTTCAGCGGCTGCAAAGACAGTATCCATTTGCCAGGCAGTATCCATTTGTCTGGGTAGCTAAGGACTCTCTCTAGATGGCCAGTTCTAACCATCAAGCTTTTGACACCAGACATCTGCTTGGAGATTAGGACCTAGAGGCTAGGGCATTTCTGCATTAGATAGAATGAATCTAGTAGAGGATGTCATCCACAGAAATGACTTGTTCTAGCCTCCCCACAGCCCCCCACACCAGTCTGACCTTTCCCATGCCCCTACAGTAAAGTGAGGCCTGCTGCATGTGCTACTGATAAAACAGGGGGGTGGGGTTTATTCTGCTGGTATGGAACCCTGCTGGTACAGCATAGTCTGCACTTAATCTCCAAGCAGATCCTAGGGTGGCAAAAAGACAGTATCAAAACTGGGCCAAGCAGTAGCCATTGGCCAGAGATGGTCCAATTTGCCACCCAAGGGTAGAGACAAAAAAAGGGCCATATATAAGGGAAGAAACGGTGATTAACAGTAGATGATTAGTATATTGTTTTGATGTGATATATATACTTTTACCTGTTCCAGTCCTACTAAGCATACCATTGACACAATAAAGACAGAACAGATGTTTGCAGTATGATGGTAAAACAAAACAAAATTTCAAAATTTTGTGATAACTTGATCATGGCTGGCAATGAAAAAGCTTAATTGATTAGTACTGGAGTAAATTTAAAAAAAGAATGACAAATTAAAAAAGAAAAATCATTGTTAAATCTAACTTAATCATTTATGTCATTATATACTAAAATGATGAAAAAATTAGAAAATTCTGTCAACAGTAAATCAGAAAAATCAACTCCAATGTTAACACTATACTGACAAGAAAGAAAAGATTCCTGGAATGCTGTATTCCCTGTACAGGAGTCATTTTCTGATTTTTCCTTGACTTTTGCCCAAGTATAACAGGAAGCTTCTTCTAGTTTTCCTCAGTTCAACTCAAGGCTAAGACTCTCCAAGCTAAGGAGGGACCCTCTGGAAACAAGAACTCACTCAAGGAGGCCATGAAAATAAACAAGGAAGTCAAGGATATCTTCAGAAGTCTTGTAGTAAGCCTGGAGGAGGAAGGGCTCAGGAGATGGGCTTATGGTGTTGTGATATGTGAATTTCTGGTTTTGCTGCCAAAAAATGTCTTTGCTTTGGAGCAACCTCCTTGATACAAGTCATCTGTATGAGGCTGTATCTTTCAGCTCACCTTTGGAAGGCCTAGGAAAAAAGATGGTGTGTTTCTGATTTCCCGACTGACAAAAACCAGTTGAATCTAACCTTTTTTTTTCTTTCTTTCCAGCCACTTCCTGAAGCCTGGTAGAGGCTAAGGGATTATGGGTGATTTGAAGAGCGAATACTGAAGCACATCGGTAGAACGTACTGCGCCTGTGCGAAACCCGTAATGTATTGTGCATAGCACTTCGGCAGAACATCTCATATAACTTATATTGTCGTATATATATATATTAAAGGTTAACATCCCGTCTGTAGTTTCCAGAGTTTATGTCAAAAAAGATATTGTCTGCAACAGGCAAAATTCCAATGCAACGTTGACCAAACATCCAACGAAAACCGTGAAAAAATCGGGGTTTCGCGCAGGCGCAGTATGTTCTGCCGACGTGCTGAATACCAACCTTCTCCCGCCTGTGTTTCTCTTCCTTACTGATACCGTCGGCTGGAGCGATATCTCCCACAATGCTCTCTGCCATGTCATGGACAAGGGCCATTTTGATACACCTGGAACAGAAAGTACTTTGTCTCTGAATCTGATGGGTCCTTGACTGGTACCACCTACATTTTCAATGAAGTGTACATGTAAAAAGAATTATGACAATGGTTCTGATCAGTTAACAGTATGATCCATACTTCCTAAATTCTAAGTGGTGCAGGTAAAACTTGTCTGGTGCAGGTTATTTTCAATGCCTGCAATGCTTTCAAGTCCTCAAATTCTAGTCTGGGTACCATCAAGATTTTGCTCCAGTACGCTAGAAAAAAATCATGTTTTCCTGAGCATGGTGGAGCAAAATCCAGATGGTAACCAGGCTACTCAAATTCCAGTTCAAACCTAGCCTCTACTAGGCTTTGAAAGTGGCTGGAAAGAGTAGAAATTGGACAAATACATGTAGATAATATGCCAGGGCAGTTGGTCTGCACTAAGAGAACAGTTTGGCACTCAAACCTACAGTTAAACATGCAGAAAGTTCTTACTTGTCCCTGTTGAGGTCTCCCTCCCCGTCCAGTAGGAAAGCCATGATGGCCATACGGTACATGTGGTCAGCCACACTCTCCACGTTCTGTACACCACGCAGCACCCAGCCTGTCCGTGGGACTCTCTGTATAAACAGCACAAAACAACAATAGGTATGACAAATTTGTTTGTGCCTATATTTACCTTTGAAACTACCCTACTCTATCCGGCATAATTTGCAATTTATCTGTTTATATGTGCGGATGACTGCGATGTATTCTGGTATTTGCATCTACTCTTTACTTTTGTACACATTAAAGATATTAAAAAGTTGTCTGAACTAAACACTGGTCTTCCTTTTTCGTGACATAGTCTCTTCTTCTTGTTTGTAGTTCTTAGTAATAGTATACTTACTTCATTTTGTTGGACATTGAATGAGCAGGTCCATCTTACTATCCTTATTCTTAGGTAGTCACCATTTCTAGGTAGACTTATTTCTAGGTAGAATGTACTTAAATTTCTAGGTAGACATGTACATGTACTTAAATCTATTGCCTACTATAGCCCAAGGAGATAGAAACCTCACCTTCTTTAACTAGATCTTTGTGAATTTAGAGGCATTTCTTTGCTATGATATCCATTCTTCTGATGAAGTCCTCCCCTAGCTTTTGCCTACATTCTGAGATTCCATGAACCCGTCACATTGAACACTTATGACTCGGTATCTCTACACTATAATCTGGAAGCCAGCTGAACTTTGGAGTATATCTTAATGCTTGATGATCACTTGATTTGTAGTTAATTGCTAAACCCAATATAATAATAGCGATTGCTACTCAAGATAATTGAAGAAGTGAAGAGAAAAACCAGACAACAAAACTTTTCAAACATTCTTTAATGTGTGGATATGGTACTCATAACGTTTATCTCATGTTTTGATACATGATGTGTCACTGTCTTCTCTATGCCTTATGTTCTTGTGGTAAGCAACTGTTTATATTCTTAGGTTGAACTTGAAGAAAAACATGTCACTTTCTATGATTCCATTATATAATATTCCAATGAGAACCGATTTCTTTATCTATTTGTAACATTTCAACAATCTTTCTTGATATCACAACTTCTTTACATCTTCCTCAGAAATACAGTTTTCTTGTTCAATTATGCATCAATGCACAGTGTATTGCAAACAAATTTTCAACATATTCTACTGCATCTACTTATAACGTACTCAAGACTTGTAGAACTCCAGAAGATCAGGATCTGTGGGTTTCAGAACAGTTTTTCTATTCAAGTCCACCAGCCAGCCTGCTCCCAGTCCAAACAGAATCTGTCTCGGGTCCTTTCTTATACTCATCATCTTAAACTGTTCTTCCAAGGAGAGGTCTGGCAACTTGTACCCGTACTTCTCTGCGAGGGCCAGCCGAGCTTTCTGGATTTCTTGCGGATCTGCGAGATATCCCCGAGTCTCTGCGTTCGTGTAGTACTCCACCAGATCTTCGGGTGGGAGCATTCGTTTCGGAATTGGAATACCCTTCGCGAAGAATCCTATGGGGTTGCACAGGATCAGTAAGGCCATGGGGTCATAGTATGCCGTGGATATCGTCCCGCCGTTTCGCTCCACGGTCGCGATGGCCAGCTCCGAGGCATACTGTACCTCGATGTTGATCTTAGCTTGGAAGATATCCGCCCCCTCTTCCACAAGGTTGATTCCGTAGTGTTGCCTCTTGGGGTTGATTTTCACTGCGTGGCTTATGGTAAGTGAGGCGAGGTCTATTGGTTCTGTGGTGTCCACACGCCCCATGTCGATGAGATACTGTAGACGGTTGAGCGAGAGGGGAGGGTACTGTCTGCGACGGCTGTGGTCGTCATAGTAACCGTACTTGGGGATCTTGAGGTAGAACGGGGTGTTCCCACCTTCGAATCCAAGCCTGGGCCTGGTGCCTCTTTGACCTTGACCCTTGTGACCTCTACCGCATTTCCGTTTCTTCTTGCCGCCCATACGGCGAGGTGCTTTGGTCAAGGCGCCGGGCATGGCCTTGATGTTGGTCAGAGCGACACGCGGAAGGTTTTTCAGGGCGTTCAGCGCCCCACGTGTGCCCTTGCCTGCAGCCGCCATCTTGGATTTTTCTTCAGAACTCGGGTACAGTTTTAGTCAAACAAACCTGATTATATCCCAACGAAAGTGGTAAAAACGGAACCTGTTATAGCCAGGGAACGATCTAGAATCAGGTAACTCTTCCTCAACACCAAGAACTCGAGAAAACACCCACTTTTAGCTGGCCGACGAGCATCATGAATTCGAGCAGTTTTCCCCTGGACGCCGCCATGTTCTTCTGGGCAGTGACCAATCAAAACCACTCTTAGGAAACGTGCTAGATACGAAGTCTCTGATTGGCCAATTTTTGCGCGAGGTCATAGTGCAAAGCAAAATGGCGGCCTCCATGCTTCTTGCAAAAAGTCGTGGTCTTATTTTCACAAATTTCAGAGTTTTAACGTGCCAAAGAAGATTTTATACGAGTGACAAAGGGCCAGGGGATACTGCTGATGTTGCTGAGGGGAAACTTACACAAGACAGCCCGCCAGAGGCAGCGAAAACGGAAGAAACGGCGGTGAAAAAGTCGGGGTTTGCGAGAGCCTTTGAAAAGCATGAAGACTGGGAACACTTGGAGGAAAAGCTTTCCGCACCTTCAGAATTAGACCAGGTAAATATAATGTTGATCTTTCTGTTTCATGTAGATCAAGGTAAAACACAGAACAAACATAAATACACATGCAGTGAGTGTCACTGAACTAGGTTCACAAAAACAGCAGCTAGTGCCCCCCTCCCCCCCCCCCAAAAAAAATGGTTCAGCTTCAAGGATCATAATAATTTTATAACCATAATTTTTTCATACTTGAGTGTCATGATATTCATTTGTCTTTGTTACAGAATGCTAGCACAGAAGTAAAGGACCCTCCAAAACTGTCTGGATTTGCTGCAGCTTTTGAAAAACATGCTACATTGAAGGACACATCTGTAAGTACTGTGTGTGTGTGTATGTGTGTGTATTTGTTTGTGTACATGTAATGTGTATAGGATCATACCCAGTTATCAATTAAATTATCTAATGTATTCAAAACCATGGATACAACCTGCAAAATATCAGGTGGAACTAAATCAGGTAACACGCAACAGGAACTAAATCCTGACCACCCAAACATGTTCAAAGAGGTGTTCTCTATACTTCTGCTTCCACACTGTACACACTTTTTGAATTCCATTCTTTGGCAAATTTATGGCACTCAGAGTTGCAGCAGGCTCTAATCACATGACACCTCAATCCATTTTGAAGCGCGATGTACGATACAATCTGGATGGCTGAAAAGCAGTGTGAACGCACAGGTCAATACAGATTGATGAATTTCTGATCCTGATCGACGGTCAATCCAGATCCATTTTTTAATGTGAACGGGGTCTTATTTACTTCCTTTGGAGGCAGGTGAGCAAACCTACCAGGGGATATTTCATCCCCCACCACATCTAGTGTACCGTTATTCTATGCGGCACTAAAAAGCACACATATCTACTGTATCAGTCCTCAATAAGGTTCTGCCTGTTCTAGTCACTAACTTAGAACTGTAAGCACCACAGCTCTCTACAGTTCTTGAGTGTTTCACTCTCAACCTTGTCCAGACTACACTGTATCAACTGCACTCTAGCCACCGCTACCCTCTGTCACCTAGCCTGGTTACCAAACCTATCATAGCTCCCGAGTCCTACATCCTCTCTGCAAATAGGACTCGGGAGAGTATAATAAGTTTGGTAACCAGGCTACTGTCTCCTTTCCCATCCTTTGTGAATACACACTGCCCAGTTCTCTACATCTCTTTGGTGTTTCACTCTCAGCTCAACATTCGTTCGTTCTCATGATATTCCAGCAGGACTCTGGGATCCAGGATGAGAGTTTTGCGTCCATGTTGCGTCGATCGCCGCTGGTCCAGCTGGGAGATGTTAAAGACAGGGTCGTGCTGGGGAAGGTGTTTCATGTTGTAGAGAGCGACCTTTACATCGACTTTGGGGGCAAGTTCTACTGCGTGTGTCCCAAGCCTGGAAAAGAGCCAGAGTGAGTATTTAACTTCCTTACTTAAATAATCTTTACATTTAACTACATTTCCTTAAAGTACGGGTTAAACTGCATTGCTCGATGTATAGACTCTTTTGTCAGTAGCAGGGGAGCAGGTTGGAGGGCATTGTTTCTACCCGGTGTGGTAGTACCTGTAGACCTGAACATCAAACTAACTTAGTCAAACAAGCAGTAGTGACGATTACTATTACTTAAGGACCTCCTGGCCAATACATGTTTGTCCGACTCAAGACCAAGTGACCACTTATTGGTGGTATCTTAGTCTTATAAGAGGGTCTGCATGGGGGGTCCTGATTACGCTTTACGCTAAATTTATGGAGGCCCGCAACGCTTTACGTTAAATTTCCGGAAGGCTGGCAACGTTTTACGCTAAATTTTCGCCTCCTCACTACGAATAACGGTAAATAAAATGACTTCCCTACGAATTACGGGAAATTATAAAGAGGCCGCCTACGCCTTACGGAAAAGAGCATGCAGACCCTCTTATAATTACTTGAGCATTTAGAATCCTGACCTGCTGACCATATTTTACTGATCTGCTGATTTTACTGATCTGCAGCCTTCTTGTGCACAGTTTTCAGTACTGTAGTATCAGTAGTACAAAATATTTCTGATTATTGCCTTAGTGTTTATCCCCCTTCATTTTCTACTCCCACAAGTTACTAGTATTCCAAGAATGCCTCCATATTAAAGACAAAAAGGTATTCCATCATTTTAGCAATACCAAGAATACACAAATCTTCCGTGTCATATTATTGGTACACAGTCAAGAATGCACAACTGCTATCAGCTTTTCTTACAACTTTTTGCCATCCTGCATTCCATCTATGACTGTTTGTCCCTGCAGCATTTTAACACTAAGTCACATGGATTTGATAAATTGGTTCCTATGGTCAGTTCTATTTGATTTTGAAGTCATAAGGACTATATATAGGATGAGAGGAAATCTTAAAATGTTTCCCATGAAATCAGATGAATTCATAGCTGGAAGCTAAATTGTTGTTAATCCTAATGAAATTCCACTGGATTCAAGCATTATTGTTTCCAGACAGCCAAATGCACAAATAGTTTGGGATGAAATTTTTCCTTCTCATTCAAAGAATCAAAGTCTGTGGCTAAAAAGTTCTAACATGCTCACACATACTAGTACTAGTAGTAGACTGAGCATAATGGTATTTTGATAAAAATAAAATTGTCTTTGCACTATAGTGGTAGCATGCAGAATTCTCGGTCTCGGAAGACTGTCATTAACTGTGCAGGATGGTACACTTCCTTCATTACTAATTACAAATTCAAATACAAGTGGAATCTTAGAGATTAGGCCTAGGAAAAAATGTTTCCTTTTTCAGTCCTGAAAAAGTTAGGGTCGGTTGGTAGGGATTATCTTCTTTTTTTTTCAATTTTTTTGTTAGACTTCAGATCCAACTCATACAATGCAGTTTAACAAAGTAAAACTTTTATTTTTAATGTCAATGTTAGAAAACCAATTGTACAACATCTTATCACTCTGGTGTCAGATCATGGAGCTAGAAAAGGTTGATCAGCTCGAAAAAATTACTAGTAATTTATATAGCATAGAATATGTCCCTTGCAGGGGTCCACCCCCAAAAAAAGTCTAGGGTCGGCAGGTTTTTCTAGGGTCGGTCAGGAAACAGGAAACACAACATAGTACCATAGTATTGGTGTGAAAACACAGGAATTCCACAAGAACAAACTGACACCAAGGAGGTTAAAAATGTTCCTCCAAAGAAAATGGAAAAAAGGTGGTATTTCTGGAATCCTTCCCAATCAGCTGTAAGCATAGGAAGCAGATGGGACAGAAAATGGATGGATTGCCCCTCCAACAATTTTCAAGCAACACCCCTTTAAACAGAACCAGGTGGACTGTTCCAGTGCTCTTGACTGCAGACAGGCCTGAGGGGCTAGACTCCTTCCCAGCCCCCACTCCCCCCCC